TTGCATAACGTCGTCGAAATGTTCACTCAAAGAAAGAAGGCATAACTTTTATACTCGCTGTAGTATTGTTGTTGCCGCCGCCATGTCGTGAAGGCGCTGTGTTTCGTTGTGAAAGCGAAACTACTTTGGTTGGCCTTTCAAAAGAGGACGATATCTGCTTCGTCATGCCTGGAGCTGATCCGTGCTGGTCGCTGAGGAAATACATCAACTTCGCGCTGTGGATCGCCGGATCGGCTTTCACCGTGGACGAAGCGGAGTCCAGCCCGGGGTCGTCACATGTGGTTGCCGCAAGCCCGCCGGATGCTCCTTCGTTGAATCCGCCGGCCGCGCTGTTCTCAAGCCCGCCCGCCTCTGCTGACTCAAGCCGGCCTCCGCGTACTCTAGGCTGCGGCTCACTCTAGGCCTCCGGCCTCCGCTCACTCAAGGCCGAGGTGTGTGACGCTTTTTCGTTGTGAAAGCGAAACTACTTTGTTTGCCCTTCCAAAAGAGAACACGACTAGAAATAATTGGTTAAGTTGTATTTACAACACTGTTCCAGAACAGTTCAACCCAAATATTCAGATGTGTGCAGCACATTTTATGGAGGACTGTTTCCTGATCCTGGAAGAGTAGACTACAATGCCGGCTGTTCTGACTCACAGACTGTAAGTACGTTTTTTATATTTAAAGAATTTGCCACTGATGATTCAAATGCGAGTTTTTTGGGCAGTGTAGTGTAGCACTTGTTGTTTGTCATTTCTCTGATCACAAATGCAGACATGGTTTTATGTTACGGGCCGGCCGGACAGGGCATCACAATATGGTAAGGGGGGTAACATTTCCGTCTAACGCTTGAGATATTCAGCCAATCACAACGCACTGGATAGCTGGCCAATCAGAGCACACCTTGCTTTTTAGACCGATGAGGTTTGTAAAAATCGACGCGTTTCAGAAAGGCGGGGCATAGAGGAGAAACAATAATGTACAGTATGTGGAAAATAATGTGTTTTTTAACCTTAAACCGCAAAAAACACATTTCGCTACCCCAAATACACAAAATAATGTTCTTTTTAGCAGCATCATATGACCCCTTTAAAGAACACTAGTCTCATGAATGAGTCATACTAACACTTCAGCTTTAACTCTTGCATTACTTAGATTATCCAATTAAAGAAATACACTTGCTCTTCTAGATGAGAAACAACCAGCTGTAAGAGTATCTAAACCACACACGCCATTCGTCAGCTCTCAACAATAAAACAAAAAGTGTTGTTTTTAAAAGTCTGAAATGTGCATTTTAGCTTCAACATCATGACACAAACTGAGCTGAATATTTACTTTCCATTGAATGCATCTGTTCACTCTTCAATTGAGCTCAGACCCTTAGTGTTTCTCAGTGTGTGTGTGTGTGTGTGTGATTGTCTTTGACCCTGGCTGCTGACAGCACTGTTTTTTTCTGCTTTCAGCCATTGTTTTTATGCCAAACCCGTCTACCAAATGCACACAGATGAACCCTGAGAGAGTGGACCAGCTTGCTCAAAGATAATGATTGAATCCAAGCAGTGGCAATCTGTCAGAGGTGAGGGATGCTCAGCTCACCTCATAAATGTATTTAAAGCTCGCCCTGATTTTGCCAAGTAAGGCATGTTCCTGGATCAACATTACTGTCCAAAAATATAGACCTAACCAAATCCCTACCCTTAAACCTAACCCTACCCATGATTTATTCCTAAAATCAGAGGGAAATTAAAGGTGAATAACAAGGGTGTAGAAGCATCTAACCATGATTGCAAGCCTAAAACTGACATTTCTTGAAAACATATCCCTCAGTTCTGATTGGTTGATTGGAATGTTGTTCCAGGATCAACAAGGATGTTGATCCAGGAATATGTTGTACTTGGTGAAATCACGTTCACCGTATTTAAAACATACCTAAAGCAATAATTAACTATGATGGTAAAGCTACAACTGCAATCTGATTCATCAGGTTGGTTTGATCAACATTTACATTTAATCATTTACATGTATTCATTTAGCAGATGCTTTAATCCATAGCAAGGCAAGCAATCTGTTATAAGACCCAACGATATTTGTACACAATGCCAAGTTTCAAGTATAAGAAAAAAAATATATATATTTTTAATGAATTTATATTTTAAATGGTAAGTTAATTAATAATAACATTCATTTATATATCAGCATCCCTGGAAACCTCATGGGCTGCATTGGTTCCCTGCCAAAGTTTCTAGTTAAAGGAATAGTTCACCCAAAAATGAAAATGTACTCACCCTCCGACCATCTAAGATGCAGATGAGTTTGTTTCTTCATTGAAACAGACTTGGAGAAAATTAGCATTACATCACTTGTTCACCAATGCATCCTCTGCAGTGAATGGGTGCCGTCAGAATGAGAGTCCAAACAGCTGAAAAAAACATCACAATAATCCACAAGTAATCCACACGACTCCTGTGATGAAATAAACAAAACCATCAACAAGACATTTTTAACTTCAAATCATTGCTTCCGGCTAAAATATGAGTCTGTCAGGACCACTATTGTCAAAAATTATTGACAATCAGCATACAGTTTGGATTGGCGGTATGGTTCCGTTCTGGGCAAGAACTCCCTGCGCATCCATGCAGCCTAGCATGGATGAGAGCAGGGAGAGCAGCGATAACCCCCCCAGGGTAAACAGAACAGAACCAACATAAATGTATTGCAGATATCGTTAAAGTTCAATAATGTTATGTACACATTTTAGAATTAGTCTGATTCAAGGAGAATCAGAAGGCTGAATCCTGACTGACAGAGGAGGAGTTGGGGATGGAGGAGGGTAATTAGCTATTGAGCATTTTGAAAACTGCTGATACTACTGCGGGACCTTATATATGAATACTTAGGTGTCGTATTCCCATAGGTTGATGGGGATCAGCTGAGAGTCATCTACATCTTGGATGGCCTGAGAGTACATTTTCAGCAAATTTACATTTTGGGGTAAACTATATATTTAAAACTAGGCTGAACTCTTAAAATGAAACCGATTTACACACTGCAAATTCAGAGGATTTTTTTTGTTTTTTTTATTTTTTTTATCGTTAATGCATCATCAGAAGAAAAAAATACCATTTTGATTCCTATTTGAAACTCCTTTGTTTTTAGTTCCTGTGGAGTGATGTTTAAAAGTACATTTCTGAGCATTTTGTGTTTTGAAAATACATTTAAAACCGTCTGAACATATTGTGCACTGGATTGTTTTCCTTTTGAATACAGAAACGTTTTGAGCATCGGCGCGGCGTCCCGTGAATTGTTGTCTGAAATGAGAGCGCGTGTTATTTTACATGCTGTGGGACAGACAGTGGATTTTTTTAAACATCCATTTTCCTCAGAGTCTGAGCGATTATTATCAACAACTTCCCCTCTAACTGACCACAATTTCCCTTGGAGGCCAGAAGGAAGACTTTAAAAGTGGCCCTCTTAAAATGAAACCGATTTACACACTGCAAATTCAGAGGATTTTTTTTGTGTTTTTTTTTTTTTTTTATCGTTAATGCATCATCAGAAGAAAAAAAATACCATTTTGATTCCTATTTGAAACTCATTTGTTTTTAGTTCCTGTGGAGTGATGTTTAAAAGTACATTTCTGAGCATTTTGTGTTTTGAAAATACATTTAAAACCGTCTGAACATATTGTGCACTGGATTGTTTTCCTTTTGAATACAGAAACGTTTTGAGCATCGGCGCGGCGTCCCGTGAATTGTTGTCTGAAATGAGAGCGCGTGTTATTTTACATGCTGTGGGACAGAGAGTGGATTTTTTTAAACATCCATTTTCCTCAGAGTCTGAGCGATTATTATCAACAACTTCCCCTCTAACTGACCACAATTTCCCTTGGAGGCCAGAAGGAAGACTTTAAAAGTGGCCTATTTTCCCCTTACGCACAGACAAGGCTCTCATTACAGATTAGCTGAATTGTGACATCATAGACAGATGATTCATTATGACATCACCAGCCTAACACAATTGAACAGTCACTCTAAAACACTTTTCTGTTGTGTAGATATGTGCTTGCTGATCTGTTTGATAGCATTATCTCTTCTTCTAGAATATTTTGCACACATCTGCAAATAAAACCGTGACATCATATAAAACGGCCATAAAATCTTTGTCTTTGCCTCCCTGTCTCTCTTTAATGATAACTGAGACTCCAGCGCAGAGAAATTGGACAAGTGAATGAATTAATAATGGCATATCTGATATCTCATAAATAAAATGTTTCTACAAATATCTGATCTCTTAAATACCGGCAATCGACAGCACTCGGTTTGCTTTTGGGGAAGTGCTTTCTAAAAGGAACATAAACCTTTAACATCGTCTTGCATGATCAGGATATATAATGGCACAGCATAATCAGTACTAAAGCAAGATATAGTTACTGGCCTGTATTGTGCTGTGGATGTAGATATGAAATATTTACTTTTTTATTTCAGCAGAGCTTTATGAAAATTTTAATAGAAACATTTCAAATTTATTTATTGTCATGTCTTTTATAGATTTCTTTAAAGGGGTCATATGATGCGATTTCAAGTTTTCCTTTCTCTTTGGAGTGTTACAAGCTGATTGTGCATAGATAAGATCCCTGAAGTTGCAAAGACTAAAGTCTCAAAACCAAAGAGATATTCTTTATCAAAGTTAAGACTCTGCCACGCCCCCCTAAAACGGCTAATATTTAACCCTTTAGTGTTTATTCAAATGTACATTTACATAGGAATGAATATGAATGAGATCACCCTGCATATACAGTAACAGGAATAACAGTGATTTTTGAGGTCTTGAGTTCTTGAGCTCATTTATCTTGTTCTTTTTGTAATTTGATCTCTGAAACATTCATCTGCTTGTTTAGTACAGACTTTGCAGGGGCCTTGCTGATCATGTAAATGGAACAAACACTGAATTTGAGGTGTCACATGAGCGTTATAGAGAGATACATGCATGCAGCTGAGAGACAGAGAGGGAACCCGGGATGCAGTGGCAGTGTTTGTGCTGACTTTGTTCTTGATGGTGTGACTGTAAATAACGATGTCTGCTGCATGAAGACATTCATCTCCCTTTAGGAGTGAAACCGCTAAACCTGTCAAGAACACGCCTGAGACATATTTCAGCTCAAAATCTAAATAAAGAGGTAAGAGATTATATTTTGGCATTATACATTTGCATTTTGACAATAGCTTTATGGAAGTTTGCATTGCATTACTACCACACAAAAATATATCTTCCTCATTGCTCTATTGTGGTAAAATAATGTTATCAGATATTTATACCTTATTATAGTATTTGTTGTACAGACTTTAAGCTGATTTAGATGTAATGACACCATGATAATCACTAATGAAAATAATGTGGTAATTACCAAAAAACTCAAATCAGAGCACACCGTGATGAGAATTTGAGAGGAAAACATGTTTAACTTTCATGAAAGTGAAAAATAAATATTAACAGTCTCAATAAAAAAAATTTTTTCATTTTCTTTATGCATAATATAATTAGTTTTTTTTGTTTGTTTGTTTTTTTAAGTGAAAAGTGACATGTTTTTGTGAAATGCACGCTTAGCCTTCTGACTGATCTAACTAAGGGTTTCTGGGGCGGGTGACTTTGAATAAATGCTTTTATTTCATTGTGCTTGTGTGATTTCCATCAGAAACAGCTTTGCTGAATGGACTGAAGGCTGTTTGAAAGCACAGCACGCTGGAAGCTGCTCCATTCAGGTGAACGTTTTCATTGTTGTAGCCACAAAACCTCTCAGTATAGACCTGCACAGTCTCTATTTTCTTTTGATTTCTTAGAAAAACACAGTGATCTGAACCAGAGATGTCTTTAGTTGAAGTTTCAGGTCAGTTCATTGTTCGCTAATGATATAGAAAAAAAAAATTTCAGTATCTCAATAATGATTCAGTTGTTTCTGAATATATATATATATATATATATATATATATATATATATATATATATATATATATATATATATGTGTGTGTGTGTGTGTGTGTGTGTGTGTGTGCAACATAAACAATCAATATAGCATCAAAACTTTTCGTTGTATTATGTATTTCAGCAAAATTAACTGTTTATTATTTATGTGATGAATTATGAGTGACCCCTGCTGGCGTTATGTTATGTCATTCAACTTTAATTTTGAGGCCATGCCCTTCCCCAGTAAAAATAACCTCTCTTTTCTCTCTTCTCATGCTGAGAGATAAGCAGTTGGATGCGTGTGAGAAAATATCATATATGGTGTTAAAAACAAATGACAGCGGATGAGAATTTGAGCTCCATAAGATGAGGCATGTTACACCTAGGAACATTCTCTTGCCATTTACTGTCACTGTCATATACTGTACATATTTGTGCTCACTGTCAGGAGTGATTTTTTTAACGGAAGGATAGCATTTAATGAATTTACAAAAAAAAAAAAGTAACATCAATACTGTGTGGTAACCGTTTAATGAAAGCAATAAAGGTACTCGAGGTGTGCTGTATCGCGAATTATCCGACGACCCTAACAACGTGCCTAACAACACTCTTCAGCTGCGACTTATTCACAGTACAGCCTCTCATACCTTAGTGCTCACACACACACACACACACACACACACACACACACACACACAGAGAGACACAGAGAGAATGGTTTTGGTATTTCCAGTAGATTTTAGAAGTTACTGTAAATAAGCATAGCTTAATTACCATTTTTATTATTATCACAGAATCTATAATAATTTGTATTGAATTGGTTTATTTGAGTCTTTTCTTATAAAAATCATTGACCAAATTTTCATTTTAATGATCCAACCTTTTACCTCAGTTAAATCATTTTCATAAACTTGAAGAAGAAAAAAAACGGTAACACTTTATTTTAAGGTGCCCTTGTTACACGTTACATGTACTTACTATTATAATAACAATAAATTATGCATAATTACATGCAAGTAACCCTATAAGCCAAACCCTAATCCTAACCCTAACCATAAGTACATGTAGTTAATTAATATTAATAAGTACTTAAATGCATTATTACACTGTAACAAGGACACCTTAAAATAGTGTAACCAAAAAAACTACAGAGGATGATTTTGCTAAATATATGCACTGTATTACATATTCATTATATATTTGCTTAACATGTTTGTCATTAAATGTTTATGTTTCGACAACAAATTGGAGTAGAACAAAATTATAGAAAAAGAGTGATGAAAAAAACTGCCTCATGTGCAGTTTAAACTGTTATATATAACTCAGTATTAATTGTTTATTATTAATGAATTAATTGATTATTAAATTAATTCTATTTCCAGTTTTTGGTTAAGTGAAAACTCTCTTTATGGTCATCATTTGTTGCATCACTGTTATCACTATTTTTACTTTGGAAATAAAATTGAGAAAAATATGATGAATTAGGACGTTCTCAAATGAAATAATGAATTTCAACTTGTAGAATTGCAATTCTTAATCACAATATATTGATTCGGCACCCCAAGTGTCTTGATAGCACCGTAAATACCGTCACTGTATTTTTACAGTGGATTTCTGGTGAGCACAGCTGCCAGTGCTTAACCGTACATTTGATAGGATATTTTTCACATTGTAAGAAATACATTAAGTTAAAGCTAAAAGAGCAACCTCTGAGTAATGAAATCTTTCTCTGGTTTGTATGTGTGTGATTGAGCCACAATCTGCTCATTCTTTTGGAAGACAATGAATGTGTTTTAGTCTCTATAGCTGCAGTTGTAAGTATGTGTGACTCCAAATCGAGGTTAAAACACTTCAGGAGTCAAACTAAACAGCACACACAATCACATGGACTCGAGCGTTTTTTTAACGTCTCATTATAAATGTTGTTGTTGTTGTGGAGCTTTTGTGTCCAATACTGCACCGCACTATTCATTAAATTCTCTCCATTCAAAGCATTTCTCCACATTGCTATGTACCGTGGAGTGTGCTTACAATGCATTCTGGATTGATTTTGCTCCTCTCTCCTCTGTGCACAAAATTTGACTATGAAATCAGCGCACCCATCTCAGTAACACAATGGAGGACAGCATTTACGGCACCACAACAATATCGAGACTGCAAAATAGCTGAGAGTGCAGAATGAGAGTCATGGATAATGAATACAGGGGGGAAAACAAAAACAAAGTCTGTTTATTCAGGTGTCATGGCCGAGACAAGCTTCTCTATTACTATTAAATATAAATGACTATTAAACGGTAAATATTAAATATTGGCATGTAACTCACTTCATAATTTATGCTTTTGTGCAATTTATTTTTTCAGTGATCAGATCTAAAATAGGCTTGCACTGAAGGAGTAAGTGTATATATATATATATATGAAAAATAAAAACTGTAATAGTATATAAATAATACAAAAATAACTCTCCTCTAGAGCTATTGCAAATTTGAAAATTTTACATATTTAAAATTTAAGATTTGAAATTTTTTTAACATCTATACTTTCATTTCATTTCAATTCATTTCATTTTATTAATTAATTAATTAATTTATTTTGGAATATGCTCATAAGTCGTATTAAATTAATATAATAATGTTAAATTAAATATATATTTCCTTGGGGCTGAGCCAATAAAAAACACAGTCTTTTATAATATGTTGTTTTTATTTGTAGTGGGTATTTATGAGCAGAACTTTGTTTAAAAATATATATAGGCATAATAGGAACGCTATATGCTGTTTAAATATGAAGGCATTTTTCATATTTATTTTACAGGTGTTTTACCTGTGCTTTGAATTTTGCACCTCGTTGTTTTGTTTTAGAAAAAATGTCTGTAAAATTAATCAATAATGTTTTGGCAGAAAATTAACAGTACATTTTCTTTTTTCAAATGTTTTATCTTTTTTGTTGAGCTAATTGATCACAATGCACACATTTCACTTTTTCGTATCACTCTCTTTGATCATAGCATGCACAGAAGCATAGTAGACTTCTTTAATGTCAAAACATGTCCAGGAAGGCCAGACTGCAATATTCCATCTTCTTGTGATCTTATGTCTTGCTAAATCTAAACATTTAGTCACATAATGACTTCAGTTAAATTCGGTAATCCAGGAATAATGTCCTTTTGGTTTGTACAGTGAAATATAATCTGTCAGCTGCTCTGTTTTAATGGACTTTTCCTGTCAGGACCGGACGGAGAGAGAGAGTGAGACAGAGAGAGGTCTAATGGGATTTTACAGCGTCTCATTTGGCTACTAAGACCTCTCTCTCTCTCTCTCTCTCTCGTACACACTCTTGCTGTTAATGCAGAAAGCAGACAGGCTTTTCTGGACAGATTGGCAGAATAGTAGCACTTAACCCTGAGCTAAATCTGACATCGCTGAATATCCAGACAGCACTCTGTGGAGTGTGAGAAAATAATAGATGCAGAGATTGCAGGGCAGACTATATTTGTATGCATAACAGAGCTTGTGGCTGTCCTAATTTGGATGCTACCTTTGCATTTTGGGAGACAACTATTCCTCCATTTGCAGAAGAGAGATGAGCTGCATCTTTCTGAACATTATTCTTTGATATATTCATATGAGTGCTTACAATTAGAAACGGGACTCGTTATACATTTAAATATAGATTTCAGTAACTATTATAATAGTATAATAGTGCTCTACAGCAGGGGTTTTCAGACTGGATCCCAAACAAGGAGTGCTAGGGGTCCTTTGAAAAGTTGACAGAAAAACAGTATGTATGAAAAATAAGTACATATAACTTTTCTTTTCTTTTTCATTTCTGTAGTGAGTAAAAAGCAAAATTGACAAAGTTTACAGAAAAACCTAAATACTTTTAATTATTGAATTAAATAAATAATTAGATTAACGTAAAAATTATTTAAATATTAAAATAAGTACATTCTACATTAAAAATAAGTGCATAAGTGTAAGTAAAAATGCATATTACTGTAGTGAGTACAAAAGCAAAATAACAGTTTATAGAAAAACTGTAAAAATATTGATAAATGAATAAATAAATAAAACTAAATAAATACATAAATAAAGATAAGATTAAATAAGTAATTTAAATAATTAAATAAGAATTTGATTAACATAAAAAATATTTAAATAAATAATACATATAACAGTATTGTACTATAGCTTGTAGAAAATAAAATCTAAATAATTTAATGTAGAAACAAAATATTTCATTTTAAATTTTTTTCTTTGGTTATTTTTCCTTTTTATTTTTTGTTATTTATTTATTTATTTATTTATTTAAATTGTATTTTAATTAATATATTTGGGGCAAAGGTTATAGAAGCCCGTTTCTGCCACTGAATAAAAATTAAAAAAAGGTTATTGCGACATTTAATCTCAGAATTCTGACTTTTTTTCACAGAATTGCGTGATATAAACTCACAATTGCGAGTTATAAAGTTAGAATTGCGAGATATAAACTCACAATTCTGACTTTTTTTCTCAGAATTGCGTGATATAAACTCACAATTCTGACTTTATAACACGCAATTGCGAGTTAAAGTCCAATTTTGAGTGGTGAAAAAGACGAGCCCAGTCTCATGAAAATGCGTATTAATAGTACGCCAAATAAAAATGAAAACTCGTGGTATTGATACGCAAAAACGGACTTTGGCATGCATATGATACGCATGTGTTTGGCGTGCATATAATACGCAGTTTTCGCATTCATATGATACGAAATTTGTTGGCGTGCATATGATACGCAGTATTCGCATACATATGATAC